ACCAGGGTGATGCACGAGTCAGACATATGGAAACATCAAATTATTTGTTATAAACGATGCGAAAAATATGAATCATAGATTCTCATCCCCATAATAAACAGCATCTAATTTGTTATTGTTGAGTGAACCTAACTCTTGATTGGGTAACTGAATGATCCAATCATAGCGATTCACAAGATAAAATATGGTATAATTACTGTGTTATAAACTGGTATCTGCTGGTGGAACAATTAAACGTAGCATCACGATGTTCGCTCTTGATAAATAGGCTTTAAAAATCCTTGTTATGTAATTAAATACTTATTTTCTGTGAATGTACATTAAGTACTCTTGAAAGTAACAGCAGTAGGTGTTTTCAAAATTACTTTAAATGATAATATTAGAGCCAACCTAAAATGGCCCAGACTGTGTGTCTATTGTTACTGGAGTTGGTAAAGTGTAACATGCAGTGTCCCAGCTCTACGGTAACTAGTGCAACTTGTAGGACACGTACCTCAACTATTAGTCACGTCATTATTTTGTAAACTTTTCTTATGAACAATAAGGACTCACCAGGTTTCATTACTATATTTTAGAAGTACTAGATCTTACATAAACACTACCCATGCACACGTCACACATGCGACAGAGAAATCCCCAAAACAACAAACGACACACCACAGATTTGATGAATAAAAAACAAATGCATTTAGGGTTAGGGTAAACCTTTTGTCCTCGTGCAACCAATGAAATGTTTTATGTTCTTGAGAAAGGGAGTAAACCCTTAGTTCTGTCGTATCTATTGCAATAGTTTTGACACAAGGCACGTTTCACAGTTTTACTGATTTGTTAAAAGGAAATGCTAACTTAAATCGAGCCAGTAAGAATGCTGGTAACTAATACCCGCCTCGCATTTTTAGTCTATACATGCTGTTTTATTGCGAATAGAGCTAAGCCTATAGATAACTATTACTAGCGTTCTGAGGGAAGACGTACAGCCATATTGTATCGTAGACGCTACAATAATGGCGACACGAGGCTCTTACGTGACACTTCCCACAGTTTGACATTGAAATGTCATTAATCATTGATTGAAACACCTGTTTATCCCACGCTACACTGACGTCATTTGGAGGTGTATCCTAGAGGCTGTAGCATAGCAACGCTCATGCTATTAAAATTTCCCTTGTATAACTATAGACGTCGGGATCACTCGCACGTAGAGTTGATGCGATACGATCCGGGTAAACATGGAGCTCTTGTCCATCTGGTTGGTTTTTATCCTTACTATTACGCATTCGTTGGCCACAGTGAAATTTCCAATGCATATGCCTGACGTCCAGCCAACTCAGGTATGTAAGAAACACAAGTTTAACAAACATTTGAACTGTTTTATATCATTTAACTAGTTAGGCCTTACGAACAGTTAAGAATCCCAAGAAAAGTCACTTAATTATAGTATTTTGGCACTTGTGTATGAAGTTAAAATCCTAAATAATATTCATCGTTAAACTGGTACACAATTAAAAAGATAGGCCTAAATAAAATGTTTTTAATTGTGTACCAGTTTAACGTTGAATATTATTTAAAAGTCACTTGTTAGCAGTCTCATTTTCAAATGGACTTTGTACAGTTATGTTTTTTTTCTATTTTGCTTAATTATTTTATGACATAAAATCATTGGATTTACTATTATTTATTTCAGTTTTATACCAGACATAATAAACTGAATATATATAATATTT